AAAAAAATCATTATGAAAATCTAATTATATTTTCCTTGTTATATTCATTATTTCCTTATTGGTTATTTTGGGAAAATCCCAGGTATTTTGAGCAGTAGGATTATAAAAAATATATGCTAATATAAAATTAAATGATAAAAGTAGCCTATATAAAACTAATAAGCAAAATAAACATTCATCTATCGGTACTTTTTACTTAAGTACATAAAAAATCAAGCACTTTTGTACTTTCACTCGAGTAAAATTTAAAACGGAGTACGTTTACTTTTACTGGAGTAATATTTTATACGGATCTGTACTTTTACTCAAGTGCTTGATTTGTGTACTTCGTCCACCACTGATATTAATCAAGTATCTGTGCAAAGTTTTTGGGAGCACGCTTAGATGTATAAGATATATATTGCCTCAAAGCGAACAGACATGGACTAAAAACCACAAAACTCTGATCTCACAGAGCAGGCGTGGAGCCTGGAGGACACACTGGCTGTTCTGAACGCTCGGTACAATAAGAAGGCCGTGCTGGAGATGTTTGTGTGGCCAGATGATCGAGACTCCAGCCGCTACATTATCCATGTAAGTTAATGAATATACTGTATAGTTTATTCTTTTGTATGACTAATACAAATGCCATAGTATGGAAAACATAGATGGTAATTTTATGTTTTCTGGATATTTATTTCCTAGCAAACAGGGAACATTCACAGAAAGTCACAGAAACGTTCTGGCAAAGTTGAACAAATGTTCTCCAGTAACATTAATAGAATGTTTATTGAAACATTCATTTAACATTTTTTTAAATGTAACTACAGTACTTGTTTCAGAATGTTCAGAGAACATTCAAAAGAAACATTCTCATAATGTTTGGGAAATGATAAATTGGAATGCTTCTATAACATTAACATAAAACCAAAGGGAAAAAGAAAAATTTTTAAAACATAAAAAAATAACGTTTTCATAACTTAATGGGAACATTAGCAAAATGTTCGTACAACATTTTTTTTTTTGCTGGGTATGGTAGTACCCATGAATTACCATGTATACTATATATTTTTGAATATGTACAATAGAAATACCAAGTTGATGTTATGAGTTGTCAGTTTGGTTTTAGTGGCACATCACCTTTAAAATACACAGAAGCTAATTGCAGTTTATTTGACCTAATAGCCCCTGATTAAAATGCCATTTGGAGCATGAGCTAATAAAGCTGAATGTGATTTTTCATTGGATTAATTATGAACGTTTCACTATTGGATGATCTCATGCATACTGTAATCAAGCAGCAATTCAGATAACAAATTGGCTTTGTCATTAAACTACATCCTTTTGTTTTCACAGGTTGACCAACCAGCACTAGGAATGCCTTCAAGAGATTATTACCTCAGCGATGGGAATTATAAGAAGGTATGTTATGTCATTTTGTGAGATGCATTCTCTCCCTTAATGCTATCGTTATAATCACATGAATCATGTGTCATGTATGTCTGTGGGGCAGGTGCGCGAGGCGTACCTGGAGTTCATGGTTTCCATAGCAAGGATTGCACGAGAAGACAAGAACTTGACCCAAGATGAAGAGCGTGTGTGGGAGGACATGACTCAAGTGCTGGAGCTGGAGACAGACATCGCGAATGTGAGTTGAACTGGAGAAGGCAAAACACAACAACCAACTTTCTGAAATGCTTCTGATACTCTAAATGTCATGCATAAGTCATGTGAGTGTCAGCTCTGTGCTTCAACAGGCTACCTCACCTGCAGAAGAGCGCAATGACATCACTGTGCTGTACAACAAAATGACACTGAGAGAAGTGCAGCAAACTTTCAACCTCAATGTAAGTGCAGAAGGCAATATGGGGTTCTCAATGGAATATTTTTTATTTTTGCACTTCGTCCCCATCAGACTTTAGTGTAGTCAATGAAAACTGCATCAGAAAAGCCGGTAGAGATACACTACTGTTCAAAAGTTTGAGGTCTTGATAAGATTTTTTTTAATGTTTTGGAGTCTCTTTATGGTCACCAAGGATGCATTTATTTGATCAAAAATACAGTAAAAACAGTAACACTGTGTAATATTATTTCAATTCAAAATAGCTATTTTCTATGTGAATATATTGTAAAAAGTAATTTATTCCTGTGATGCAAAGCATCATTACTCCAGTCCTCAGTGTCACATGATCCTTCAGAAACCATTCTAATATGCTGACTTGCGAGAAACATGTATTATCAATGTTAAAGGGGTCATATGATGCGATTTCAATTTTTCCTTTCTCTTTGGAGTGTTACAAGCTCTTGGTGCATAAAGAAGATCTGTAAAGTTGCAAAGACTAAAGTCTCAAATCCAAAGAGATATTCTTTATAAAAGTTCAGAGTCAGCCACACCTACCTAAAAATAATGTTCTTTTTAGCAGCATCATATGACCCCTTTAAAAAACAGTTGTGCAGCTTAATATTGTTGTAGAATCCATGATAATTTTTTTCCAAATTTTTGTTGGTTAATATAAATGTCTTCACTATCACTTTTGATCAGTTTAATGCATCCTTGATAAATAAAATGAATAATTTCTTTTAAAAAAATCTGAAATCTGAAGGGAAACGATGACTGTTAATAGAACAAAATTATTGTGATTAATGTCATGATTTCCAATCAGTCTTTAGAAACCAAAATGAAAAAGTAAATTCAGTCATGTTTTTTATTGTTTATTTTTGTGCAGTATTTTTTCTCTCAGTGTTTCGTACTGATTCCTGTGTGAACAAGGATGTTGACAGAGGAACACTCTACTTGTCCGAATGATGGTCACTGACTGTTGATATCAGATTGTGTTTTTCTTGTTTTTAGAGTACACACATTTCTTTTGTATCTCTTTATGAAATTTCAGGGCTTTAATTGGACGCGCTATGTCCAGGGTATCATGTCTAGCGTGTCAGTAACAGTGCAACCGGATGAACCCATAGTTGTGTACTGCTCACCTTATCTGGAGAAGCTCAGCGATGTTCTTTCCAAGCACAGTCACAGGTGATGTTTTAGATCATGTAACTGTTTGACACATGAAAAATGTCAGTTAATTCTTCATTGTCATGTCAATAGTAATAATAATAAGAGCATAAAAGTAGAGAATTTGATATTGGTATTTGAACACAGGTTAAGATATTGTTGAGATTTCTTCTAATTCCACCCGCGCTCTATTTAATCTCATTGCTGTCAGGAGACACAACTGACTTGTTAAAGAGATCTCGTTTAGACCCCCCCCCCCTACACTATTCATATGCATTTACATTTATGTATTTGGCAGATGCTTTTATCCAAAGCTACTTGCATTCAAGCTATTATAGTATTTATTACATTTTTTTATTAGTTTAAATTCATTTTTATGTTTTAATTTTAGTTTATGATTTAAGTAATTTTGCTCTGTGTTTTTGTATTTATATACTTTTTACATTTTATTTCAGTTGCTGTCTAGGAGACACACCTGACTTATTAAAAATATCTTATTTATTAATTTTCTTACACTTCCTACACTTTAATATACATTTAGATTTATGTATGGAAGACGCTTTGGTCCAAACATTGCATCCTTAAATTGCATGCAAGCTATCATAATATTTATTAATTTATTATTTAATCATATATATATATATATATATATATACTACTGTTGAAAAGTTTGGGGTCAATAAGATTTGTTTCAAGAAATTAATAGAAATTAATATTTTAATATTTTATTTAGACAGGA